TAATCCCATGTCCAGATTTCAATAAGGAGATCTAGAACTTGTTTACAAATTATTAAGAGACAGGTTTAAGAAGGGGCGGGATTTGAATTCTTAAAATCCAGAAGATAAGATCTTCTAGTAAAATAATCGGCCCCCCCGGGAGCCGATTATTTATACTCACCCCGGGCCCTTCGGGCCCGGGGAAAGATTTGAGCCTAAACCTTAGACTCAGAATTTCTTTACAATTAATTTAGTTTCACCTTGTGTTTGATGTATTCACATCAACCACCCGACAATAAATCTTTAGGCCCTCAAGGCCCTTCGACTGGTTTATTATGGTCTGGTTATTTTGATTTATGTTGGATAAGGTTACTTACAATATCACCACGAGAAGGTATTAATTATGATATCGGGGGAGAAGATAAAAGATTATTATTTTATAGTATTAGTATTATTAGGTAATAAAAAGACAGCCCATAATAATAATACAAATAATCTAGGGTCTCCGATAAAGAAAATTAGAGTAATGAATAAGATTAAACCGCTAAAGATATACATAGCATATGTAGGAATAAATCCTGAATCTAATGAAGTAACTTTATTAGAAGCAGATTTAAATACATTAACTAATCCATAAGGCCCAACTAATTCGATAGCTCCTCTATCAAGGATTTTAGTTGTTGTATATCCAAATACTAATAATTTATTTAAGATAAAATTATTTTAAATATTATCAAAGAAATATTTTTGGTTAAAGAATCGGTAAATTCCTCGGCCTAAACTAGTACTAATAAATTGGTTAGGTAATGAATCAAAAATCCAATAAATAGCTAAAACACCAAAAGTACCTAAAAGACTACCAATTAGTGGTAAGAATTTCATAGATAAAGGAAGCCCAAATTCAGTATCTACTAAAATAGAATGGTTAGGATGAATAAATAAAGCATTATTATAAAAATCTGTACCCATACCTACAAATAAATCTTTAGTTACATAACCAAAGAAAATACTAAATACAGCTAAAATTACTAAAGGAATCGCCATAATTAGAGGAGCTTCGTGAATATTTTGATAATTAATTTTTGGTCCATTTGGATAACCTAAGAAAGTTAAATATAAAGATCTGATAGAATACATAGCTGTAAATACTGCAGCTACAGATGCTAACCAATATACTAAATTACCTGAGAAACTATAATGTCCATAAGCTAATTCAATAATTAAATCTTTAGAATAGAATCCAGTTAAGAATGGTAAAGCCATTAAACTTAAAGATCCGATAACCATCATATAATATGTAAATAGTAATAATCTTGATAATCCACCAAATTTTCTTAAATCTTGTTCGTCATTCATTGCATGAATAACAGAACCAGCGGATAAGAATAATAAGGCTTTAAACCATGCATGATTTACTAAATGGAATAATGCTACATTATATTGTGATAGTCCGCAAATTAAGAATAAAAGACCTAATTGAGAACAAGTCGAATATGCAATAACTCGTTTTAAATCATTTTGTAATAATCCAGTTGTTGCTGCAAAAAAAGCAGTTAAAGCACCTACCCATGTAATTAAAATTAAGGCTGTTGATCGAAATTCTAAAATAGGAGAAGATCGTAGAAGTAAATAAACTCCTGCAGTTACCATTGTAGCTTCATGAATTAATGCTGAAACAGGTGTTGGCAAAATATGTTGATACCCCCTCGTAAGAGGATATACGCAGTTACTCTCATAACTGTTCGGACTATATCTTCATTAAGATTTTTTATTGTTTTTATTCATTAAATATTTAACTCGGTTAAGACCATCTTCGTTAAAGTGGTCTTTGTTAACAACTAATTTATACACTTTAAGCCAATTGAAGTAATCAATATCTTTTTAGTCCGCTTAATAAATTGACCTTGTCAATTTATTGAGAGGATGAAAGGGCGGCTTCGCCGCCCTTGGTCCGCGGGGGCCCGCAGGGCCTCCGCTGACAGTCCCGCGCTACGCGCGGGCCGGTCTTTAAAGAGTAAATATTAAAATAACTAATTACTTTACGTAATTTAGATAAATTAACAGTCATATTATATCCATCATAACTTTTTAGATAGGTTACTTTACCGTCAAACAGTGCTGCAATCTTAGTCATAAGCTCAAGTTCATTCTTTTGTGATAAAATGTATCGCACTTGAACTTGATTATA